AAATTGACTATACAGTTGCAAATAAGACCATACCTATAACCTTCCCTGTGTAAAAGAAATAAGTGTGCAAAGTTTTGTGCGATTCCGTGTCGCGGTTCAAAAGTTATAAGGTAATAAACACACAAACATACATTCATATTTATATATATAGATCATTATTTTTATGTGGAAAAATAAAACTCGGTAATAATTATTATCTCTGAGCGAAAATATAAAAATCATAAATTAATTAGGGGATTCCCTTAAACTCGTAAAGTCTTAAACCGTGTAAAGGCCTGTATGCAGCTCTCAAGAAAAGCAAAAACTCCATATAAAATGACGTACAAGAAATGGCTAAGAAATTTTCTTGAGTCAAATTTCCTTAAAGGCCTGTATGCAGTTCTCACGAAAAGCTAAAATTCCATACAAAATGACGTACAAGAAATGGCTAAGAAATTTGCTTGAGTCAAATTTCCTTCAGACAGTACGCAGTTCTTAAGCAATTTGCTACGCTTTTTACTACGGTTTTCTAAAGTTTTTTGTGAAAAAAGAGCACAAGGCAACCCAGGTTTGCAACAGAAATATATGCCCGTTCAATTATTTCTTGAGGAAAGAGTGAGGCAACAGGCTGTGAAGTATCAAAAATGTCAAAATTCCTTGGATACACACACGAAATAATGGCAAATTTTTCTTGACCGATTTCTTGGGAGCTGCATACCAGCCTTAATCCAGTACGCAGTTCTTAAGAAATTTGCTACGCTTTCTGCTGCGGTTTTCTAAAGTTTTTTGTGAAAAAAGAGCACAAGGCAACCCAGGTTTGCAACAGAAATATATGCCCGTTCCATTATTTCTTGAGGAAAGAGTGAGGCAACATATTGTGTATCAAAAATGTCAAAATTCCTTGGACACACACACGAAATAATGGCAATTTTTTCTTGACCGTTTTCTGGAGAGCTGCATACAGGGCTTAAAACTCGTAAGTTTACGAGGTCTACGAGGCTTTTACGAGTTTAAGGGAAGACCCTAAATCATTATTTTTGATCAAAAAATTATTATGTTAGAGCGAAAAAAATGAAACTCATAGAATAATGATTGAATGCCGATTAAAATTATTTTACTCATAATGATTACCGTCCCTGATCAGATGTCAAAATTACTTGGACACACACACGAAATAATAGCAATTTTTTTCTTGACCGTTTTCTTGAGAGCTGCATACTGGCCTTTAAACTGTGTAAAAATCGTAAAGTGACTGTTTGACAGGTTGAAAAGGGTTTTGTGAATACATTAGCTCTGATCCAATACTTTTCGTGAAAAATCCTGTAAAACTGTCAAACAAAAAGACCATTTTTCCTGTAAAAACGTCAACCTGTGATTGCTTGACACTTTTAATGATTTTACCAGAAGAAAAAGTTCGGGTAAAATCTTGGAACTTCATTCTCTACACAACTCTCCAGGAACATTTTTCCTGCAACTTCCTGCAAGTTCGTGTTAAATCCTGTAAGTTCATGGAGTACTGGATCAGGGCTATTTTTGTTTAGTAGTATTTTTCATAAGTGCACTTCTATGGGCTCTGTCACACGGTCAGTAATTATCACGATATTTGTATCGCGATCTATATTGACGGATTGATGGATCGCGCACGAATGCTGCATGTTCAATATTTATCGCGTCAGTATTTAAGTACTTTGTGAGCTGTGTGGTTCGCAATATAGTAAAAAAAGGAGCAAGAAAATACAAATCGGGCGTGTTTGGCTATATTACTGGCCTTTTCATTAAAAAAACAAGTAAAGAGGAAGTACTGGAGCAGAAAATGGTATCAGGAGCGACACAAGCACACGAGTTTGAATTTATTGAATGCGATTCCTCTCTATAAAGAATTAGACGATTACGAAAATTATTTTCGAATGTCTACCGAATGTTTCGACCATCTTCTTAAGTCAGTCAGCCCATATATAACGAAGAAGGATACAGTAATGAGAGCTGCAATTTCTGCAAAAGAAAAACTGGCGCTGACCTTGCATTATGTGCGTTCACAAAACTCATAACTATTTACTTTACTTTAATAAAATTTTTTTCAGCTAATTTAAGGATGTGCGGTTTACAGCTATTATGTCGCGGCAGGCAATAAGTGAAGCAGTTCTAGACACCTGTGGAGCTCTGATATATGTTCTTAGAAACTATATTAAAGTAAGTAAAATAAATGACTATACATATTTTTTTATTTATTTAGTTATTTTATAATAATTTATTTATTCTATTATCATGTTTTAATTAGGATCGAATGATGAAAACAAAGATCTTATTGAGTATTCTTCAGAGTTTTCTATTTCTTCAGTGGCACCTATTTCAGTCTGGTAAATAAACATTGGTTGTCCACTAGCAGGCAAGTTCGGGGATAGATTAGATGGTGAAAGGAGAACGGGAGATGTACATATAGGTGACATATAGTCACTCGGCTGAGTGGTTGCAAAATTGGAGTCCGGTGAAAGTGTTGGAGGTGGTACAAAATACGTGGTGGTTTTGGAACTCGAATAACTTTATTGCGATGTGGTTTTGGTCCCGTTGCATAGAAACGTGTTGCCGGTGGTAATTGTTGATAAATGGTGGGTTCGGGTGACGTAGGCAATGAAACTTCGGTGTTGTAAGCGTTTGAAGAAGCATTCATTTGAACAGAATCTCGGCTTAATTTCTGATAAACGGGGAGATCGGGTGACGGAGCATATGAGACTTCGGTGTTGGAAGAGTTTGAAGAAATATTAATTTGTACAGAGTCACGACTCAAATTTCCTAGTTCAGCTTCAAACAATATGTCATTTATTGCTTTTTCTGCTATCACGCGCTGAGTGGGCTGCAAATTTTCGAGTTTATCTGTCCAATATAATGCGGTTGCGTTTATTTTGCTGTTTGTAGAATCTGGTTTTGCAGATAATAAGGAGCATGGCTTCTCAATGAGTTCGTTTTGTTTATTAATTTGCCCACTTTTTTTGGCTTTTCGCGGAGGAGGAGGCTCGCTTACCGAGGAAAAGGAAGTATTTGATAGGTCCTCTCTCTTCTCACCAATTTCCGCCACATCTTTTATATCTTGACGTTGTAGCTGGTTCTGATTATAATTAATTAAATGAATTTTAATTTTCTTTTCTTTTTAGATGCCAAGTACAGCAGGCGAATGGAGAAGTGTTGCTGATGACTTCCGAAAATTGCACAATTTTTATAACTGCGTGGGTGCAGTCGACGAGAAACACATCAAAATAAAACGTCCGAGTGGTTCAGGATCGCTGTCCTACAACTACAAGGGAACATACAGCATCGTTCTTATGGCTATAGCAAATGCCAAAAAACAGTTCATAATGGTCGATATTGGGTGCAATGGACGCATATCTGATGGTGGTGTCTTGTTCTACACGAAATTTTGGGAGTATTTACAGCAAAACCGGTTAAATTTGCCAGAACCAACACCGCTACCCAACACTTCAGAATCATACCCTTACGTGTTTATAGGAGATGAAGCTTTTGCGTTGGGTCCAAACTTTATGAAGCCGTATCCACAAAAAAGGGCTACACACCCATAGCAAGTATTTAGTCAACGGCTATCTAGGGCCAGATGTGTGGTTGAGTGTGCTTTTGGTATCATTGCCAATAAATTTGGAGTGTTTCAGAAAGCTATAAGTCTGAGCCCAGATAAAGCTTCAAAGGTAACAGCAGCGTGTTGTTATCTGCACAATTATTTGATGTCAAATGAAAGACCAAATTATCAGGCACCAAATGGCAATAATTTCGAATTAACGAATATACAGACCAGTTCAGCTCGGAATTCAACGGAATGTGCTAAAACTTTATGAGACAAGTTTCGCAATTATTACAACAGCGGAATGTAAATAACTTTTTTTAACAAATTAAACAATAAACAAGTAAGAAAGTCTAAGTTCGGGCGGGGCCGAACATTAAATACCCGGCGCAAGTATTACATATATGCCTTATCACCTTTCCGAAAGCTACAGCTACATGGTAAGCCGGGGTGTATCAATTTTGAAAAAATTAGAGTCCTTAAATTTCGAAATATTGACGTTTCGAGCATTTCTAAAATTTACCGTTGTATGAAAAGCCGTAATTTTAGTCCGNCAAATACCAATTTTGAGTGAATAATCTTCAGTAGTTACTAAAATATCGCAGTTTTCGTATTTCTGAAAATTACCGTTATATGGGAGGTAGGCGTGGTTATTGTCCGATTTTACCCATTTTCAATACCATCCGTCCTACGCNATCATTTATGTATACATTTGTCTATATCTATCTCGATTCGTTTTGCCTGTTACAAACAACCGTTATGTGAACAAAGTTATAATACCCTTGTGCACAAGTGCGCTCGGGTATAAAAATGTCACGCAACACAAAACAATGTAGTACTTTCATTTTTCTGTCTGTATAGCTATGAGCACTTATTATAAAGCAAAGAATTTACTTACCAGGCTAACAGGCTGCTCATTCCTTTTTAAAAATTGCAGAGCATGAAACGTCCATGACTTCGGAGTATAAACTTCTTCTGCGCCAGCTCCGGAGCGCTTGGAATCAATCACTCTTTTCAATTCTTTGTGGTAATTGGACCTTAAAGAATTAATTTTCTTCCGGACATCATTTACTGTGGAATTTGCATTAATTTTTTTCAAAATTTCTAACAACTTCTCATATCCCGCCGCTTTTTTTATTTTATTTATGTAATTTTTGCTTGAAGCATCCCATAATTCGGGGATACTCTCCAATGTCAGAATAAATTCATTTAAATGGTTTTGATCGTTTGTGAATGTTAACAATTGCGAATTTTCGCTTTCAACGTCCGACATGATGCAAAACAGTAATATTATGACCAAAATTACTGCTAAGTGCGCAGTATTTTATGACCGTTTTATTCAAAATACAACGCGTACTGACGTATCGTGAAATAACTATGCTACACGTTCAATATTTATTGACGGAATCGCGATCCGCGATCCAGATTTCAAAATTTTTAGAAATTTTGCGATATGGATCGCGATCCATCAATATTGCATGCTACACCGCCAGTAAATATCGCGATTCTTGGATCACGTTAATAAATACAGACCGTGTGACAGCGCCCTATACCTTCTATGGGCGCCCGCATACGAAACATCGTAATGCCTGGATTATAATGCAAGTAACGGAACGGAGTGAACTGTCACTTAATTATCTATTGTATGGGCAATGAATTCAAACGATTATAATGCACTTGAACGCAATGTAAAACGAAAGCATCTAAAATCCAAGAACGATAGAATACAAGATTGCGCATTCCCGCAGAATGATATTTGTTGCAATGGGTAGGTAAACAAAGAATATGGTGAAGAACAATGAGTTGACAGTTGTGAATTCTTCACGATTCACCAATTTCTCAAGCCATCTTTGAATATAGCAAATTAAGCACAACGTTAACAAAAAATATACAACCACTCTTGAAATGTGTTCAAAAGAATAGGTCTTATTAATTAACTATTTAGAATTTTTGTGTTTGTATTGCAGGTGCCGAAAAAGTGATAATAAAAAAAGTGAAAAAACTGCATTTGGGGGCTTTACTCCTACGGCTGCTGCAATCCAACACACGACACGACATTTTTATATAGTTTTTATTACAAATAAAACGTTTTTTACTTTAGAACGCACGAATTACTTAGATTTTCACTTGAAAGTACACAATACGTTTGCAATACGTTTGCACTTGTTTCTAAACAAAAAGTTTGTTTACGTATTGCCATAAACGTCAAAGTCGGCAAAACCAAAGTAGTAAAATCAATAGATCCTTACGAATTCGCCGCGATTTGTTACGATTCGCTCCGTGCATTATAACCAAGGTATAAGAGATATATCGCATTTGTAGACCGTTCATCGCAGAAGGTATACGATATATAGTAAAAGATATCTCATACCATTTATGGCATACCTAACTATAGGCTTTAGCCATCATCTTTATCTTTATCTTTATCTTTACTAATATTATAAATCCGAAAGTGATTTTGTTTATTTGTTTCGCTTTCACGATTTAACTACTCAACCGATCATTTTGTTCACTGGTGTCAGTTAGCCAAACGTAAAATATAGGATAGATTTAATCTCGATTGTGCAAGGGGCGTGGCACCTCTCATACAAACGGAATTTTTCATACTGCATATCGCAGGAATTATTTGTGGTAGAGTAATGGAATTTGGTATGGAGATATATAAAATCAATTCCACGATCACGGAGGAGGGCTGCCACCTGTTTAAAAAATAAAATTCTACTTGAATTAAGGAACTTATTTATTTGGAAATTATATGAAAAAATGAATGTGAAGAGACTTAAAAAAATTGCAGTTTGAAAATATTTTGAAAAGGGCTGCCACCTGTCTGAAAAGTCACACTTAAGTTAATTAGTCGGAAGCTATTTGAAAAATTAAAAAAAGGGTATCATACGAAAGAACCGTTCAGATTGAACATTTAGAATATTATTGAGGGCTTTTACTAGGGTTGCCACCCAATTAAAAATTATATTCAATTAATTTAAATGAATTACTGCAATATGGGTGTCAATCGAATTATTTTTGAAAAGGATTTTAGTTCTAAACTACGTGATAGACGGTTGCCACCTGTTGTCACATGAATTAAGGGAATTAGATAATTGGAATATGTATCAAAATATGGGTGTCAGACAAAAGGGGTTTAATAAGGCTTTAGCTGTTATATGCATGGAGTCGAAAACGTCGATAACGATGTTAACCGATGAGTAGTGCCAACCAGACTTTGAGCAACCGGCCCTAAGCTATATATGTATAGCAGGTTTTCCACATATTTGAAAATTCAAATTCAACTCGAATTTGCGATTGACTGTCAACCTGTGCGGACGTGTTTTTTAATCGCTCCGCCGAGAAATTATTAATAATTCACGTAAAGCAAAGAAAAAAAAACAACGCGAAAAGACAATACTAGGCATACATAAGCTTTCTGCTTATTTGCCTATAATTATAAATTACTTTTTCTGAATTTTCGCAATGCCGCGAGAAATTCAAATAAATGTGCCAACATACAATAAAATAAAAGCAGCTCCGGCCCCACCGCGCTTACCGAATAGTGGAACAAGCACCACTGCTGATCGCGATAAATCGTTCTCTCCCTCCCCCCAAACCTCGTGCATTACATCTTGGCATGCACAGTCGCCAATGTCGCTGGTAGACCAAGTTGTTCTAACGCAACAACAAAGCACTAGCTTAGCAATAAGCACAGTAACAACGGTGAGCGCAGCTCTCACAACAACGACTACAACCACGAACTCAGCAATGACAGCGGTTTCACAACGCAGTTCACCCACACCTGCACAAACTGCAATTTCGGCACCAGCCCAAGCCCAGCAACGCAGCTCAGCGCAAGTTTACGTACTTAATCCAACAACCCGTACATTGACTCAAACGGGTATTGATAGGTATATACAAGTCAAACGAAAATTAAGCCCACAGCAGCAAAAAATTGCAAATCCATCAAAAATTGCAAAGACGAAAACCACTGACATTAACCCTCTACTGGGAAATAAGTTTGCGATTCTGGACAATGAATGTGACAAAGAGCCGAATGAAGTTTCTTAAGCCAAACCCAAACCGCCCCCAATTTATTTACGAGAACATAACTGTAGTGAGCTCGTGAATAAATTAACTCAGCTTATTGGAGACAACACGTTCCACGTAACGTCAATTACAAAGGGCAACATTAAGGAGACCAAAATTCAGATTCTAACTGAAGAAAATTACCGGTTGGTAACCAAACACCTTACTGAGGATAAGAAAAACTTCTATACGTACCAGCTCAAAAGCAGCAAAGGACTGCAAGTAGTAATAAAAGGTATAGAAGCAAGTGTACCCATTGGTGATATTGCTCATGCTCTAGAGAAGGCACGATTCGCTGTTAAAAATGTTGTCAATATTATCAACAGACCAAAATCGCTCAGCCTATGTTTAAGGTAGAACTTAAGCCAGAAACAAAGCCAATGAATAAAAACGCAGTGCACCCAATCTACAACCTACGATACCTTCTACACCGAAGAATAACAGTGGAGGAGCCGCACGTGGCGACCGTCACACTTCCGCTTCTTGCATGGCTATCAAAGCTGATGAGGCTGTAAAGAAATGCAGTAATAGCGGAAGTAACCATACCGCCAATCAAAGGGGATGCCCTGTATACAAAGACTTAAAGTCTCGCATGAATCAACGCAACACAGCCGTACGCTCTTCAACCACTCCAACTAGCTCTTATACATACGAACACCTCACGCCATCAACCACTACACCAGGAGCCTTTCTTGCCAATGCGCAGCGATTTCCCATCGTTTCTTTTGCAGACGCATTAAAACTACAAACGCAGCCAAGCACGGCGAAATCAAACTCCAATCAAGAAACATTTGCAAATATTCAAAGGAATAATACTGGGCAAATGCAACCGAACCCCCCTACTTGTGGCATAGAAGGAATGATATTGAATCTTACCCATTGTATGACTCAATTCATGTCTACTATGCAAAATAAATCAAGACCTCATAAAGGCTCAAAACCAATTGTTGCAAATTTTAGTGATTAAAAAATGAGTGAATTGAATTGCTTATGGAATGCTAACGGTGTAAACCAGCGTAGATTAGAACTCAGTCAATTTCTCACTGAATATAAAATAGATGTTATGCTACTGTCCGAGACCCATTTAACAAATAAATATAATTTCTCCATACCTGGATACAAATTCTATGCCACAAATCACCCAGATGGTAAAGCTCATGGAGGCACAGAGGTGCTGATTAGAAATCGCCTAAAGCACAATATTCTAGACTCAAAAGCAACAGCCTGTCTGCAAGCAACTATCATATTCTTAAGAAACCGCGACCGAGACTTGAATCTATCGGCTATTTATTGCCCACCGCGATTTTTATTTTCTGAAAATGACTTTAAAGATTTCTTTGATAGCCTGGGCAGGAGGCGACTTCAACGCAAAGCATACGTACTGGGGATCACGCCTTATTAACCCAAAAGGGCGGCAGTTATACAATACCATTATACACAGGCACAATAGACTAGAAGTCCATCTCCTGGTAAACCTACTTACTGGCCCACCGATATAAAGAGGATATCAGACCTAATAAGTTTCGCAATTACAAGAAACATATACAGAAATAACATAACAGCAGAAACTCTACCTGAACTATCATCCGATCACTCCCCTATATTAATGAAACTATATGAACAGACTCAAAACATCGAGATTGAGCCTCGTCTAACTTCAAATAACACCAACTGGCTCTAATATAAAAAGTACATCAGTAGTCACCTTAAATTAAACGCTGCACTTAACTGCGAGGGTGATATAGACTTTCTTGTTGAACATTTTAAATGAACCTTTACTTCAGCCGCTGGCCTGGCAACATCAAATCAAGTCCAAGTACCACCTACGCCTACATCAGTTACAAATACCGAAATAGAAAAACTTGTGGCAGAAAAGCGGCGCCTAAGACAGTGGCAGAGCCATCGCTCACCAACCTCACAGCTACTGCATGAAGCTGCCAGTAGAAAACAGGATCGCCACTTGCAAAGGTACATTAAGAAGCTTTCCCCGAATTCTACTGAAAGATACTCTCTATGGAAATCGTTAAAATACTTCAAACCACCAGTGGCTACGGAAATACCAACACAAGAGAGAGCCAAGTGTTTTTCACACTATTTAAAGAATATGTTTGAGCCAAACTGTCCAACGAACAACTTCAAGCTGCCACGGCTAACCAAAAATACAAATGAGCTATACCCACCTAGCAAGACGAGATCTTTAGAAGTAAAAGCTATAGTAAAGGAGCCTAATCCAAAGAAATCGCCGGGTGCTCATTTTATAACTAGCAATTCTTTCTGACCTTTTCAACGCTATCCTCTAATTCGGTTACTTTCCGAAATCATGGAAAAGGTCGAAGATAATCATGATAGCCAAACCTGGAAAAGACGCAGCACAGCCGTCCTCATACAGACCAATAAGCTTACTGCCCTGTCTTTCCAAAGTATAGGCTGGTATGCAGCTCTCAAGAAATCGGTCAAGAAAAATCTGCCATTATTTCGTATGTGTGTCCAAGTAATTTTGACATATTTGATACTTCACAGCCTGTTGCCGCACTCTTTCCTCAAGAAATAATGGAACGGGCATATATTTCTGTTGCAAACCTGGGTTGCCTTGTGCTCTTTTTTCACAAAAAACTTTAGAAAGCCGTAGTAAAAAGCGTAGCAAATTTCTTAAGAGCTGCGTACTGCCTGAAGGAAATTTGACTTAAGGAAATTTCTTATCCATTTCTTGTACGTCATTTTGTATGGAATTTTAGCTTTTCTTGAGAACTGCATACAGGCCTTATTCGAAAAAGTACTCCTATCAAAGATATCTCCCTTTCTCCATGAACGCAATTTAATACCAGCACACCAATATGGCTTCCGAGAAAAACGTGGTACAATTGAACAAGTTAATCGAATTACAAATGAAATCATAAGGGCATTTGGGCTCAGAGAGTACTGCTCTGCAATTTTACTCGATGTGGCACAAGCATTCGACAAAGTGTGGCACGACGGTCTTATATATAAACTTAAAAAATTGTTGCCGCCGGAATTCCACAAAATATTTGAATCATACATAACTAACAGAAAATTTACTGTAAAAGTATCTAATTTCACTTCAAAATACATGTCGATAACGGCTGGCGTTCCTAAAGGTAGTGTACTCGGGCCTATGCTGTATATCATCTACACTTCAGATATTCCAACTAGTAAGGATATACTCACATCCACCTTCGCTGATGATAGCGCATTAGTAAGGCGTAATAAATGTCCCAACAGAGCTTTAAGAGTACCAGAGGAAACTTAGGGTGCAAACAGAGTGGAAACGAAGCCGAAGACGAAGATGAAGACGAAGCCGAAGACGAATTGCTTGCGTTGGGGGCAAGCTGGCGAGTGTACATAGTGGAAGATGAATGATATGAAGATTTGTTTCTAAATAAAACCCTTGTTTTAGATAAAATCAAAGAAAATAAAGAAAAAACATCAATTCATGAAATAATTTGTATAGGACAACTTTTGGAGAATTTCGCCACTTGTATTATGTGTTACGGCAAGACGGACAGACATTTTTCGAATATATAAGAATGCCAATCAATACGTTTGATTACATTTTGCCAAAAATTTAGCCAATTTCTTGAAAAACACGTTTTTTCACAATTGCAAACAGTTAAATAAATTGTAAAGAATTCATCACAGCAAGCGATTCGTCTTTGAAAACAATACCGCACTGTTTCAAGCTGACCGCTTGCGCAACGTCTTCATCTTCGTCTTCGTCTTTGCTTGCACTGTGATCACTTTCATATGTTAACTACTGCACTGTTTTTCGTCTTCGGCTTCGCTTCCACTCTGTTTGCAACCTTACTACGCATAGAAGAATGGCTGGCAAACTGGCGCATAAAAGTCAACGAAGAGAAGTGTAAACATACAGTATTTTCACTCAGACCGCAAGTATGCCCCCCAATCAAATTAAATAATGTCTATATTCCACAAGTCAATGAGGATCTAGGAATTCACTTGGATAGGAGGCTAACTTGGCGCAAACACATATCAACCAAGATTACAGAAATAAAATTAAAGTCAGCAAGCGTGAACTGCCTTATAAACAGTAAATCAAAACTGAAACTAGATTATAAAGTACTTGTATATAATACAGTCATTAAGCCTATATGAATGTATGGTATTCAACTGTGGGGTACGACCTGTGCAACTAGCATTGACAGGATCCAAAGATTCCAATCTAAAACGCTAATGGCCTTAACGGGTGCACCGTGGTATGTCCGCAATGAAAATGTACATAGGGACCTTAGTATACCGATGGTTAAATCTGTAATCGACAGCAGCAGAGAAGAATATAAAATAAAACTGCGTAACCACCCAAATCCACTGGCAAGTGGCCTGTGCAACACAACAAATATAACACGCCTGCGAAGAAGAGATCTACCAGCCTTTAATTGAGCGACGTTTAACCAGCAGGGCTCAACCCCAGGGTTTGAGCTATATTATTGTAAATTAGACGTAAGATTTTTAAACTTGTTGTTAGGCTTAATAGATGTAAACTAACAACCAACAACTAACCAACAAATAAATGCAAGTATAATTAAAAAAAAAAAACTTGACTTATAGGAATTAGGTAATTTGAATACATATGTTTCACAATATGAGTGTCGGACAAAAGAGGTTTAAAAAGGTGGCCAAATATTCAGAAAGATAAATTCAAAATATTCAATATTTTCAATAAAGAATCACAGTAGGGGTATCAATCGAAATGGTTTTGAAATGGCTTTATTTCTAAACTACATTTAAGGGGGTTGTCCCCTTTTTAATCTATATATATTTGAATTTAAGGCATAAGTTAACTGAAAACCATCACAAGAGAGAGGTTTAAAAAAGTTTTAGTTTGAAAATATTTTGAAGATGGTTAAAAACTTTAAAATCTCCTGTTTTCGGCATAGTTCAATTATGTTAAGATTTATTGAAATAAATTACTCCTAATGTAGCACGCAGAAATTTCGTACTCAGCG